ACAGGCTATTGGGGATGAAATTCATGTATTACTCACATGTAAAAATAATCAGATTGTACAAGCTCATACTAAATTTGAAGCTGAATTAGCAATTTTCGATGACAGCATTTGCAAGTTATCAACTCTTGAGAAATTCAAGTGCTTGCTAGGCACTAAAGATAGCTTCATTGTCAATTGCTTCGGAAAATTTATTGATTTTATATCTAAGCTTTAGTTTAGTCTATTGTTTTATTTGTGTTTTTCTTGACCATTGATTTATAGTATGTATGTTTTTGTTTCATTCATACTAAATTTTGTGTCAAATAAAATATCTATCTATCTATTAATCTATAATATCCCACCCTCTGCCCCTCCTTCCTACCACTGGCACCATTACTCTCTGTATACTCACTGATATTAATGTCGTTTTTGTCTAATACTCTGCTATCATCCATATTGAATGTCACTAAACCAGGATGCTGTATGGCAGCAATCACCAATCCAGCCATGTCACCTGTAGTGGACATCTGTATAAAATCAGTGTGTTAAAAGTCATTATTAATCTCAAAATGAATTGTATATCAATGAAGGGAGAACATACTAGACTATGGTGAACATACCTTATTACCACCAACACAAAATATTTCTAAGGATTTGTTGCTAAGTAACCCCTCCACCAGGAACTTCATCCCTTTCACATCAATGCCAGTAGATTTCATTTCAAGTGAGGTAAGTTTGCATTCTTGGTTCTGTGTTGAAAACATAGCACAAACTTCAAAATACATAATTTGGTAAAACATAGCATAACAATTATAACATTGCCTGTTGAGAATCAAAATAACAAATAAGAATTCAGGGTGAATTAAAACTACACTGGTTTTGTGTTTATCATACTGGTGATTATCTGACTACATGAGGATATGAATTTAATAAATGCTGAGATATGTATTAATAATGTATAATCATTAGAATTATATAATCTAATAATTATAAAATATAATAATATATTACTATATTAATGTCAAGGTTTCTTATTGAATAACATGAATCACATAACAATTTCCAAATAGTACAGCAATATATCTAAGCGATGACCACTGGAATTATTTGGAAGTAAATCGAATGATGTTCACTGACCAGATTTCATGACTTGGCAGTCAAATTTGAAGCTTTCGAAACAAGTGGGTGCTAAGTCAAATGTGAACCACAAATAGAAATCCCCCAAGTGAGTGATGAGCACTTAGGTAGCATGGGGAAAAGACAGTTGAGTATGGTATTTACCTTCAGTATATCAGCTATCATCTGTGCCGTCAATTCCCCATTAGTCATATAGTTATAACTCATATCTAATATGTCTAATGTTTTATTTTTTTGTAAACATTCAAAGAAGACTTTGAGATCAGTAGCACCACAACTTGCAAACCTACAAAGACAAACAGTAGAAAATAAAACTAATTTAAAGCAAATCTGGAATAAACTATGATACTAACATATTTTAATAATGCATTTTAAATATATTTAATAAGCTGTAGTTGTAGTTATCTTTATGTCTTAGTGTTTTGAAAATATAAATACATGTATGTATATTATCAAACATGTTTAGTTTGTATGTATTAGAATACATCAACCTGTGGATTATCTGTAATATAATAAGGCATATGCAATAGTCATGCACTTGTATTAAATAATTATGATTCAATACACCCATACAGCTAGGAAACTGGGTGGGAACAAATTTTTGTAATTGGTTTGAGCTCTTTTGTAGATCTTCCTCATAATGTGTACTGCAGCTTGCAATTGGCACAACTACTATGGAAAAGTTAATGGGAGAAGTGGGCAGCTCATTTGAAACTATCGGGGTAGTATCCCCCAGCAGTCAAATTATAAAGACCTTGTCAGGACCTTTTATTGGTTACCCCCACCTGATCTTGTTGAATTATATACTCCGTTTTTTAAAATTTACATGAAAGATATATACCGTATTTATTCTATTAGAGGCATATTTTCAATAAATAGTTGTATACTAAATCATTATTTATTCCTCAATTTAAGTATTCCCCATAGCTATTTTTCAAAGCATTTTTCCCCCAGTTATTGATCCCTTATTGAGGGCCAAGTACCGCACTACCCTCATTAAATAAAGTTTATTGCTATAAATGTCATCTTTAAAAGTATTAATAATTAATATTTCATTCTTAGGCACAGTATTTTAGATGATTTCCCATATGTACTTTGTTGTCATGTCAACTATCTGTATTTACACTATATGACATCCTGTTCTCACTTCCTTTGCCTTATTTTTTTCTTAATTTATGACATTTTTATTAATAATAGATGGTCACATAGAACAGGAACACACATTATTAATTTACACAATAACCTCAGCAATGGTAGTATACATACCTGCCAAATATTCAAATGGAAAACCAAAATTAATCAATAAGTCAGGTTTTTTTGTATGTACAGATACTACATACAGATAAGCAACAACCAAGAAAACCATTTCAATTTTTATACCTATACCAACTTCATTTAGTTGGTTTAAATTGGAACATTAATAATCTAAAATCTAATGTTTTTGATGTTTTAAAGGTATAAAGCTAACCTGAGATTATGGCATACTCACTTGAGACATTTAAGAGAAGTATTTGTTTGTAACGCTGGACCCACACTGCGTGAGAAGAAGTCCTTACCCAAGGAGTTACTTGACACATCTAACCATGTTAAGGTAGTGTTCAGTGCAATCAGTTTTCCAATACATTCCTATTAAGCAATAAGACAACATAATTTAGATTTATCATTCAAGGGAATTATCAAGAATAATAGATAGTAAATTATTTTGTGATGTTTATAGTGTTTTAGTGATTTGGACAAGTTCGCACAAAGATGATCTAGCGGGTCAGACTGTCAACTTTGGCCTAATGTATTTTTTTCAACTAAAATGATTTAATCAAATACCGCAATGCATTTGAGAAATGGCATTTCAAGCATAGGCATAACAGACAAATGCTTCTTACGGTCCTCGCTTAAAATGCATTGCAGCATTTGATTATATCTTTTTTGTTAAGAAACATCTAAGAAAGCTTGGAAAGAATTCCTGTGTGCTGAGAGTATTTTAGATTTACCCTTTCAAACAAGAAGCTTGGCAACCAATATTTGTCTACTATTTGAGATGAAATATTTGAAAACAACATGAGATCCACATAAAAGTCTATAATACTTTAATACAGAATTTGATTGTACATCTTTGGTGTGCAATCTCATTTATTCCAGAGCACCTCTATCACAAGTTCAATTTAAATGTGAGTTCCAAACAGACAAGCTACACCTCTATACCTTTCGTTTCATTTACTTACTGCACTGTCTGTATCAGCTTGGTTGTTGGATATATTAAATGTAGTAATCCTGTCGTTATATATCATAGCTAAGACAGCGGTACGTACACCTTGCGGCCCCAATCTATTACCAGAGATATCTAATTCCTACAAGTAAAATAATTGCATTATTAGAAAAATAAGACACCTTGATATGACTGAACTTAAAAAATATGTAGCTTTTGACTTACTGTGATATTGGTAAGCTTTGAATATAGCGTAGCCAATGAGAAGTCTGCGTTAGGTGGTATTCTGTCCAATCGTAATGATATGACATTCTGTGTAGCATACGAATACAGTTCATCTGTTTTCACCAGTCGACACATTGACTTCAATGCAATGTTAAATCTTTTCTGATCTTCATTTGTCTCTGTAACCATGGTTACTGTACTCTTCTGGATAGAACCTTTACTCGTACTTGCCATGGCAACACCACTTGCAGAACCAGTGGAAATGTCTCCTGCTATGATTGGGCTTACAGTACTTGGAGGATTTACAATGCTACTGAAACTAATTGATGTGGATTTGCCTCCAAGAATACATGGGCTAATATTGCTGCTATCAGAACTAGCAGAATGAGCTGAAGTAGAAGGCGATTTCTTATTAGCTATATGTAATATAGTCTTGTTTTCTTGTTGGTTCTTTGGTTTCTGTATATTACTATTTATACTAGGTTGACTACTATTAACTACAGTATTGGCTGAACTACCGCAACCCATTACCAGCACCTACAATTAAAACAAACAAATAATCTATCATCATTTATCAGATTGAAGATACATATTACCCACACATACCATCATATTAATTGCCGTGGGCCCATGCATTTACAGACACAGAAATTATGAACCTATATTTATGGATGGAGAAGAATATGTCAGTTGTCTTGCATAAACAACTGGATTGTTTGCATGCAGTGAGGATAGAAACAGTACAAGCAAGAGGCATAAATTCATACATACATGCACAGTTAATTTCTCCTTACCCATCCACAATCTCAACAGATAATGATATATTGGTCAGGAGATGGTACCTCACAGATTTGCAAAATGGGAATACAACTTTGAAACCTCAATACATTTATAAAATACATTGTTGATGCAAATCCTTATTCAAATTGAAGATACTAGTTTTAAACTGACTGCTACGTATAAAGTCATAATACCGGTAATAATGATACTTAAGTCTGAAATCATTCCTATAGCTTTACTAGAGTCTTGTGACTGTGACATTTACATGTATCTGACAGTATGAGTAAACCATTCAATTTCTCGCTGCTCAACATTGACATTTTATAGCACTTGCAAAGAAAAAATTTCACAAAGGTCACTGACCCCAATTTCATGATTTTCACTGCCTCAAATGGGCAGCCAATGTGCTGCTTTTACATAATATTTCTATTAGCAGTTCCGACATGTCACAAACAATTTTTAAGGGTCAATCATCAATTCCCTGTGAATTTACACTAAGTGTAGATCCAATCAAATTCATTCAACCAGCATATACCCAGTATATATTTTGAATAGTACAAGAAAATTTATTATATAACTTGGAAAAAGGAAGCAAATAATGCATTTTTGTACCTGTAACTTCATGCAGAAATCCTGATGAATGTGTTTGATTTTAAAGTTCACAACTGGCAATTTGCAATTTAAAACGTGCAAATATTATATTTCGTCAATGGTCTTTATTTACAAATTCAAAGCCATCGACCCATAAAAGTATTTACATGTACATAAAGAATATTCAAAAAAAATAAAAATACTTTAGATGTACAAGAAGAATATTTAAATAAAATCACATATCTCGTTCCTAAGTTTCAATGCATGAAAGATGTAGCCTGTGGTTGTAAAATGTCAGAGTTTTGAGAAGTAAAAAGTTCTATAAATTTATCAAAAAACTGGCTATTATAAAATATATTGGGTAAGTATTATGTTCGCAATTCATGGTAATATGGGCAAACAAGGAGAAAGTGAAACTCATTTTCAATTTCATCTATGTCACAAGAAGGGGAAAAATGTTCATCTCTCTCAATTACACCACAATCTCTTTCAATGCAAAGGCAGTAAGAAGAACATCGAAACTGTGCAAGAGCTACTTTATGGGAATAAATTACAACAGATTTTAAGTATTTTTCCGTTTGCAATGTAAGCTTAAATTTCTGATATGTTTGTCTAAGGAACAAATATCAGTAAGCCACTCAAAATGTAGGTATTTCTCAAAACGACATGAAAATACGCTTCCAAATTCCTGAATATTGCCAACTTTCTGCGAATACACAAAAACAATAGTTTCCTTATGTCTGCCACCTAGGTAGGTTTCACCCTCACCCCCGATTTGTCTATGTTATATTTAAATAATAACACATGCTTGTGAGGGTAATATCACGATTTGTTGCCTGCCCAAGGGATGGTGGTCATGACCATAATATTGACGATGCCAGAGCCGAAGGCTAGGTGACACCCCGCTTTGAAAACGATTACCGGTACTTTTGTTTTGTCCAAGTTCACTGTCATTTTCCATTTATCACAATACCCTTCAAGCTTATGTATTAATCTTTGTAAGCCAATGACAGCGTCCGAAAACACCGCAATATCGTCAGAAAACAATAAACAATGAGTTCAATGAGGTCAGGGGATAGTTTGAATACCATGGTGAGGGGACTGTTGTAGTTCAATAGCTAGTTCATTAATGAAGGAAAATACAAAAAATATTAATAAACACACTTGTATTTATGACACTCTAGGTAAAAGTAAACACATAACAACAAACCATACAGTAATTAAAAATAACATAAAACATTAGTGGAACACATTAGGAAAAATGAACAAGGTTTTAGTTGAAGACAAAAATGAGACAGATTTTCATAAAAAAATATTAGAAAGGTTAAAAGTAATTAGGAAAAATACAATCCACTGTCGAGAAGACAATAATAATTTATACAATTACAATAAACCAAGACGACGTTCGAAATGCAATAAAATTCTGTAAATTCTGTCAATGAATTCATCATTAATGACGGGGAATCAGTTGTTCATTCTTTAACGATTCTTTTTCAGTCTTGTCTGAATAATAACAAAATTCCAAACAATTGGAAACAAGGGGTTGTAAAACCAATTCATAAGAAAGGTGACGTAAAAAATTTAAATAACTATAGAGGCATTACTCTAAACTCAGCCGTATGCAAAAATAATTGAAAAAAAAATTAAAGAAATTTTTCAAGGAAAATAATATACTAAGTGAGATTCAGGGTGGTTTCCGGAAGGATTATCGGTGTGAGGACATAATTTTTGCCCTTAAAGGTAATGTGTCACACCGTAAATCAATCAAGAAATTAACTCATGTTGCCTTCCTTGATTTTTCGAAAGCTTTCGATAGAGTTTGGAGAGATGGGTTGAGAGCGCAGTCAGCTGGCACACATGTGATAATAAAATAAATGGGCCGCCATCTTGAATGCGGCATAAAACTAAATAAGAGATAAGTTGTGAAAAGCGTTTTTCAGATTCCTACAAATCAGGACAAAAATACCAATCTTTCACAAAAATACAATTTGTTGGGGTTATATTAGGCCAACCGATAACAAAATTTGACCAAATTCGGTGTTTTTGTGCGAAAAAATCCCTTGCATACAAACACCTAATTACACGAAGAACCTAGAATACTAAGCAGGGGTATTTGAAACTGAAATTGTCATCTAACTGTAAGGCCGTCGCTGATTGGCTGCTGAGCTGGAATGCCAATTTTTGGTTTCAAATACCCTAGGAAAGTGTTCTATGTTCTTCATGTAATTAGGTGTTCATATTTAAGGGATTTTTCCACACAAAAATGCCGAATTCGGTCGAATTTTGTTATCGGTTGAATTAAAAAGAATAGTTAGGTAGGGGATCACAAATTGTTCTGCATTTTTGAAAAATTCACCAATCAGATCGTCTGGACCTGCTGATTTACCGTTTTTGATATGTTTCAGACTTTCATGTATCTCGTCATCTGAGATAGGATCATTAAAAATGTCCAAATCGATTTCTATATTACCTGGAAGAAAATAGTCAACTTTACTGATTTTCCAGGTTGTTTGCCAAAGCAAAATCATTATTGGATTCATTTTGTGAAAAAAGGGTACTGAAGTATTCAAACCATTTCTGGGGATTTATAGATGTGACCCAGTAACATGACTTTTAGTGTAATTTATCTGTCCAAGCGTTGACCAAAATAACTTATCTTGGGTACGAGTCAGATGTAAACTTAATTGCTTTTTGTAATGGCGTAATTTATCACGGCACATATTTTTAAACCTGTTACGGATTGTAAGGTAGTTATGTAAATCTTGCATATTAGATAAGTTGCGAAGCAAACGTAACAACCTGTATTTTTCTGCTTTAAGTTTTTTACACTCCAAATCAAACCATGGGGTTTGTCTTCTAGACTGACTGTATACCTTACGTAACATGCTGCTTTTATTCGCAGCAGAACGTATTACATTCATAAATACATCAACAAAGACATCAATATTAAAACCCGGTGTATTTAGATAGTTACCACAAGAGTCATTTTCTAGATGTTGAACAAAAGGATTGGAATTTTCTGCTTCCATACATAATGTGTAAAGCTACTAGTACGATCTGTGTTGTAATCAGCAACTGTTGACGGTAATCCATGTTGAATTGGCATTTTAAATGAGAGTGGCATGTGATCGGATTCAGTACGCAATTCAATACAAAAATTTGCTATTTTAAGAAACAAGGATGATGAAACTAGTACATAGTCGACAAGACTATCACCATTACTAGAAAGACATGTAAATCACCAATGCCAGTGTCATCACCATTCAACATATGCAAAGTGAATGTACAACATAACGAAACGAGTGACTGTCCAAAAGAATTTAAAACAGTGTCTTTTGAGGCACGTGAGATGTTGAAACTATCAGCATTATGTATTGGAAAGTCGTTTAAAACAAAATAAATAAAAAAAAAATATCTCTGCTGGTTTTGCTGAATGGCAAACTATTATGAATAGGGTTTTAAGAGGTTTTGGGAGTAATATTATTTTTTTGTGTAACATTGAGATTAAAGAGGTGATAAACAAGGTCCCACTCTTCTATTATGATATTTTACAAGATTGGTCAAAAATTACCCATATAAATCCTGAAACTGTACAGCAAATTGATAGCCAGATACTTTGGAATAATAAATTTTTAAAGATTGCTAACCACTCAGTGTATTTCCGGGGATTGGCAAACAAAAATATTAATAGAATTGGGGATTTAATTGACACCAATGGAAACTTTTACAATTGGGGTTTTTGGAATACTAAAGGTATTTTTCAAGTAGAATTTTTCCAAATTCAGGGTATAATAGATGCTATTCCAAGGGAATGGGAAAGTATAATTCATAGAAACAGACATACAAAGGTTGATTATGGTGAAAGGATTTATTGCAAGTCCTCCTATATAGATATTAATTCAATTACAAGTAAACAAATTTATAAATTGTTATGCAGAGATATAGTTGAGACTCCAACCATTGTCAGCAGACTTCAAGAACTGTATGGTGTATCCTCGGAAATGAGTAATGTGATATTTACACTTTCTTTTCAGACAACTATAGATTCAGCCTTGAGAGCTTTTCAGTTTAAAATTTTATATAGATACTTACCTGTTATTATTTGAATGGAGCCTTGTAAATTCTACTTTGTTTTCACTCTGCCAATTGTATAATGAAACAATTGA